ATGGGGCAGTTCTACTCTGTCCTACAGGTTGCTGTGAGTTCGAATTGACTCCATGGCAATGGGTAAGGTCACACAGGTAGTATATCAACAGCTCAAGGACTTAAAGTCTGCTCTCCTGAGTTTAAGATCTTTTTCCACCAGCTCACACCACCTGCATCCTTCCTTGAACAATTGTTTCTCTTTGCAAAAAAACAGATAGACTAAAGAAACATATGGAAAAGATATACTCCAAATTCAGGAGAGTGGTTACCTCTGCAAAGGTCATGGAACTGAGAACTGGGAGATGCTCAGCCCGGGGCCAGCTCTGTTTAAGCAGCTGGTGACCCTGGGGAAGCCCCTCTCCCTCTCCAGGCCTCAGTTTCCCTACAAAGAAGCAATTGGCAGAGGCAGTTTCTAAATGCCTTCCAACTCTGAAATTATAGACATCTATGAGCTCTCCTTGTAACTTTGTGGCCTCAAATGAATATAAAATAGTAATAATAATAATAATGGGGAGGGTGAGTCCACATCAGCTGGGAAAGAACAAGGAACACTACAATTTTTAGTGAAACCCAACCCCTAGTTACTGGAATTCAGAAAGAATCACGGTAATGCTTGGGCAGTTTAACCACCATCCTACAGTTAACAAAAACACATCTGGTTTAACTTCGCTTTCTTCATCTCCTCCCCCTACCCCCTACCCTCCTCTCAAATTTTACCCCTTAATTTGAGTAGTCAAATTAAATGCAAACAAGTGATTTCATGCCACAGTGAGGTTGAGAATTTAAGCATGGAAGACTTGAGTTTTTCTGGGAGCAATTATGAAATGTTGGGGAGTGGTATGGAAAATAGAAAAATATAGAAACTGTTCTTGAAATGTTCTTTGGACACCAAGCATTGAATAAAAGTTGTTGAGAGCTGACTGTGTGCCTGGCACTTCACATAAATTAATCTGCAAGAGGTGTAGTTATTCCCATCTCAGGGAGACTCAGAGAGGTGAAGTTACTTGCCTCAGGTCACACAGCGAGGGACTGGAACCCAAGATGCTGGCCTAAAAGCCAATGTTTTCCCTGCTTTGCTACCTGAACAGGGACTTCCCTCTGGCCCTTCTGGATAGGCTGGTACTGACAAAGGCTACTGCCAGTGAAACTGCCCCACAGGGAGTATTAACTTCTCAATAACAATCGCCAACACTAGTTCAGCCCAATGTTAGAAAGTCATTTATGCTCTTGCTGGCCCCTTGTAGCAAACCTGCAAAGTTCATATTATTAACCCATGTTACAGATGCTGAAACTGAGGCCCAGAGAAGGAAAGTGACTTGTCCAGAGCACACAGCAGCGCTAGGAATGAATCACCAATCTACTGCCCGCAGCTGCCCTCTACAAGTAAGGACACCTCCAGAATTAAAAAAAAAACAAAAACAAAAAACACCGCACAGCCCAGCTCTGCCAGGGAAGCCAAGCCAGCATTCCTGTGGCCAAGAGGTGGTTTTTGAGCACTGGTTCCCAGCCCAGCTTGCTCATTCTCCCCGCAATGTTCTCTTCAAGCTCTGGGTTTTGTATTAACAGCTTCAGTTGGACCTATTTCAAGGTGAGATCTCCAGGCTATGCCCCTGGTTGCTACCCCTTGGATTATGAGGCCTCATCCCCAGAGGTGGGGGCAAAACTGAACTTGGAATTCCAGCCAGCTGGGTTCCAGTCCCAGCTCTCCCAGGTAGTGTCGTGTGTCCTTGGGCAAGTCACTTTCCATCTTCAAGATGAGTTTCTTCATGTATAAAGTGAGAAAGAATCACATCTGGCTTGCGGGGGATGTTGGGTATATAAGCCACAGGTCAGGGGCATGCAGGGCCTGAGTTTGGTTTTGCCTCATTTCCAAGCTGAGACAACATGAGGCACAAGAAGAACAGGCAGAGGGCAGATGTCACTCAGAAATAACAGCCCCAAGGTTGTTCCAGGCCCAGAGCTCCAGGCTCCTGGCCCAAGCCGGGTCTAGGTTGGTAGGAAGTGGCATGAGTGTGGGCAAGGAGGGCACTGTGCCACCCTCTCCACTCAGCGCATCAAGGAATGGGCAGGATCTGGGCAAAGGTAGGTGTTGGGTCTACAGGGCTCAGAGGCAGTGACCTGACCCTCCAGCTAATCTTAGCCTTGCATTTTCTGCTGAGATTAGAGCTGACTGTTGCCAATATTTTCTTAAGCACGGGCACTAGCTAAACATCTTGCATGCATTAATTATATTTAGACCTCAGGCCCAGTAGCTACTATTGATATTCACAGCCTAAAGATGAACAGACCTCATCCAATGTCCCACGGCTATGCTGCCTTCTCTATTGTTGTTCTTGGGTGCTATCAAGTTGATTCCAACGCATAGTAACCCTATAGGACAGAGTAGAACAGCCCCATCGGATTTTCTAGGCTGTAATCTTTATGGGGAGCCCTGGTGTTGCAGTGGTTAAGAGCTTAATCTTTACGGGAACAGACTGCCAGGTCTTTCTCCCACGGAGCTGCTGGGTGGGTTTGAACTGCCAACCTTTCAGTTTTAGCAGCCGAGCGCTTAACGAGTGCCACCAGGACTCCTCTTATCTTCTCTATTAAAAAACCCATTGCCATCGAGTCAATTTTAACTTATAGCGACCCTATAGGACAGAGTAGAACTGCCCCATAGGATTTCCAAGGCTATAATCTTTACGAAGGAGCCCTAGTGGCACAGTGGTTAAGAGCTTGCCTGCTAATCAAAAGGTTGGCAGTCTGAATCCACCAGCAGCTTCTTGGAAACACTATGGGGCAGTTCTACTCTGTCCTATAGGGTCGCTATGAGTCGGAATCAACTCGATGGCAACGGGTTTGGTTTTGGGTTTTTGTTCATCTTTACGGAAGTAGACTGCCACATCTTTCTCCCATGGAGCGGCTGGTGGGTTGAAACCTTTCGGTTGGCAGCTGAGCGCTTAACCACTGTGCCACCAGGGCTCCTCCTTCTCTCTATTAATGAGGGCCAAGTGTTGGCTGGTCAAGTTTATATGTTATTGCATTTTTTATCTACTGCCTTGTGAGTTGCTTGATTTCAACTCTAAAATGTCATTTTTGACAGCCAACTTCAAAGCCTCAAAAGCAACTGTTCCATGAACATCAGCTACAGGAAGAGGGCTTTTCTCAGTTTAATTTACTGCTGCATCCCCACACCTAGAACAGGCTTCGCACAGAGTTGATGCTTAATAAATATTTGTTGAATGAAGATGGCATTTTTCTTCCAGCCTCAGTTCAATTTTATTCTTCACAATAGTCCTACGCAAGAGGCATAAAAAAAAAACCAAACCTGTTGCCATCAAGTCGATTCCGACTCATAACAACCCTATAGGACAGAGTAGAACTGCCCCATAGGATTTCCAAAGAGCGGCTGGTGGATTCGAACTGCTGACCTTTCGCTTAGCAGCTGAGCTCTTAACCACTGCGAGAGGCATACTCCCCATTTCATAGATGGGACAACAGACACAGAGAAGGACCAACACCCTGTCTCACTCCAAGGGTATGGAAGTTGAGAAGCTGTGTCCAGGAGCCTCTCCTGCTTTGAGAATTCAGAGGGATTGGTTCAGGAAGAAAAGAGAAGGCACAGGGGCAAGACGGGTAGGGACAGGGGATGGGGTGGATGGGGCAGGATCAGGTGGGACAGCCATAGGTGGGAGGACCAGCAACTTGGAGAGGGCAGGTCTGGAGGGTGGAGGGAGGCAGGGTTGAACCCAGGGAAGGGCCAGAAGGAGAAACCAACAGAATAGCACAGCGTCCTGGAGGCCACAAGGAAGGAACAGAGATGGTGTTAGAGGCCTGGGTTCAAAGGCTCCAGCTGGGGGACTCAGCCTCTCATCTCTTCAGCAGCGAGTAGAAGGCTGTGGTTACAGGGTTTGGAGACTGGCTTCAAATCTTGTCTCCACCACTTGCTTACTTCACTAAGCCTCAGTTTCCCCGTTTGTAAAGTGAGATGGTGCATGTGAAGTATTGGAGCAGGTAGCACACAGTAGGCATTCAATAAGCAGGGTCATACTGAGTGGGAGGCGCCAATCCCGCCTCCCTGCTGTGTAGATGAGCTGGAAGCCCCGCCCACATGAAGGGTCTCCGCGCTTTTCCCACGGCCCAATAGTGGTTTCTGGCCAGAGAATCGCCCCCTCCTTTGATCTCAAGAGTTCTTGCCTTCACCCAGAGGCCTTTGTGCCCCTTCCCCCAACCCCTTCCCCCAACCCCATTTTGTGTTGAAAGGGGATCAGAAGGGACGGTGTGAGAGAGAAAGGGGCTTCGCGCCCCACCTCTGTGAACGTGCATTTAACCCATTCCTATCAAGGCTGGGGGCAGGAACGAGCCCTGGGCAGCTGACCTCACCCGCGCACACCATGAGGGGGCAGTCGAGCAGAGCCCCAGGCCCACCTACGGGCTCTCTCGGCTTGGGGGACACCGACATTCTGGATTTCCCCTTTTTCTCTTCCTCCTACGGCTCCCGGATCTGAGCGCCGCCCCCCCCATCCCCACTCCTCCCAGCTGCAGCTCAAACTACTTAGACCACCCCATACAGACCAGCCCCCTCCCCTGGCGGCTGTGGAAGATCTAGATGCTGCTAGGTGGGGGACTCAGGAGGGCACCAAAGGGAGGCTGAGTTTTGGCAGCCTGAGTTGTTCCTTGGAGATCTGCGACCCAGGGGGGACCATAGGGGTTGCTCTGCTGCAGGGCACTGGGGAGAGATGCTGAGATCGAGGGTCGGGGGTCTCAGGCAGTGGCCTCGGATGTAGGACACCCTGGGACTACAGGGCCGTCCCGAGCACGGTCCCTTAGTTCGTGGGCTCCGCGGGCGCCACGTCCAATCTCCAGCCCTGTCCCAGCGCGCCAGCCAGGGGCCTAGGATGCGCGCGAGTAGGGGAGCCGGACAAGTGGCAGGGGGTCCCGCACAGGATGCGGGGGGCTGGGGGCGCGGAAGCCCCTGCTCTGCCATTTGCATCCAGCCTCGCCACCACCCCGGGAGGGTCCAGGGGGTCCACCACATACCCGGGGGTCCAGGGGAGCCGGGGGCAGCGCCTGGGTCTTACTTGCGCAGAGTTCGGGGACAAGGATCTGTCCTGGCACAAGTGGCGTGGGATCGGGGCACTCGACCCAGGGCGCGGGCAGGCGGGAGCGCGGCGCTACCGGGCCGCCTCCCCCCGCAGGCTTATAAAGGCGGCCGCCGGGCCCCAGAGCTGCCCGGAGGTCCTCCCCTCCCAGGCCCTCCCCCGGCCCGCCCCCGGCCCGCCCCCGATCGGAGTCCCGCCGCCTCGTCGCGCTGCAGGCCAGGGCGCCGCCTGCCGGGGAGCCGTGCGCGCACCCCATGGCTCTGCTCGGTCCCCGCGGGAGGGCCTTGGTGGAAAGTCACGAGGCACCCCCTCTGCCGCGGAGCACTTGGGGTTCTTCTCCTCCCAGCGGGGCCCGACAGTCCCCCGCTCTCTCTGCCTCGAGTCTTCCTCGGCCCAGCCCTTCTCACTCTCCGGCTCGAATTCTGGTCTGTGAGTCTCCCCCTACGTGTCTTTTTCTTTGATTTCATCTTCGCTCTGTGTCTCTTCGTGGCTGACTCTGTCTCTCGCCCTCTCTTCTTCGATTCCTCTGTGTGACTGTCTCTGTGTTTGTCTACCTATCTGTCTGTCTTTGGGTCTCTCTGTGTCTTTCCGTCTCTGCCCATTTGCCTCTGTCTGCCCTGTCTCTCTGTCTCTGCCCACCTGTGTCTCTGACTCTCCTCCCAGGGTCTCTGTCTCCTTCCCCCGGCGGCCCAGACAGCTATGGCCAGAGAGAAGACCTGGAAGGGGTGGACTGGGAGGGAAGCCCCCCCCCCCACCTTCCCTTCGCCTCAGAGAAGGCAGAGTCAGCCAGGTTTGTGCTGACCTGTGTCCCAGCCAGGACCCTGTGCATGCCCCCTGGGTCCAGAGGAGGGGGCAGACCCTTCCCGGGCAGCCAAGTCAGAGAGCCCAGGTTCAAAACTCAACTCTGGGTGACCTTGGACAAGTCACTTGACCCCGGTGGACTCTGCCTGCCCGTCTAACTTCCAGACATCATCTCCTCTGGCTTCCCTCACGACATGGTAGGAGAGTCATATGAGAGAGGGGTTGGGGAGTGCACAGGAAACACTAACATTCTAAAACCCTAACAGTCTAGATAAATGTGGGAAAGTACAGGAGCAGATGCTGGGTGCTACAGGCCCCACCACTACTCCCCAGCGACCAGCCCCTGATGAGACCGCTACCCTCTTTCTTCTGAGCACTCCCCAAAACCAGACTGAGTTTGAATTCTCCTGAAAATTTCATGCCAGGAAGTCCCCAGCTATATTTGAATGCCTCTAGTGGCAGAGAGCTCACTACCTTCCAAGAAAAGTGTCTTCTTGGTGACTCTTGAGGCTGCCTGGAATGGTTTGTGCCTCTCAGCCATGATAGCTGGTCAGAGATTTGAAAGCAGAGGCCATGAGTCCCCTTGAGCTTGCCTTTCCTCAACATCTAAGGCTCAGTCCCATCTCTTCTTGCAGCCGTCTTGTCCTGAAGGCAGTGAGGAGGGGTCCGAGTCCAGAGCATAGGAGAGAAGGTGTCGATGCCAACAGATCAAGTCCAGCCCAGAATTCTCCTCCCTCTTACCTACTCCATGCGAGGCTCTAGGCCAGGCATCTTGCATGCATTATCTCCCAATAACCCTACTTTACAGAGGAGAAAACTGAGGCCCAGAGAGAGAGAGCATGTCGTGACTTATCAGTGAGGTTGGAGCCAGAACTGAGACCTGGTACCAGAAGCCAAGCATGTCTTTGTATTTATTTTTAATTTTTCTTGTATTTTTGGCAGTTGATACTGTTTTTCTATTTACAGGAGTGATATAAAGTTTCCTTTTTGAAATAAGTTTATGTTTTTAAAAAGCGAGTCAAAAATATTAAGTAAATACTCTATTTATGTGTTTCATGTGTTAGGTGATTATGAAAAAAAATTGTAGAAGTGGTGAATGAAGTTCAGGAAGTACAACACTCTACAGGAAGTTGTGTGGGAAAGCACCCAGCTCTGCTCCCAATACATGGGAGAGACTCCATACAGGCTCACAAATGCCAAGGAAGGGTTTAGGGATACGAGAAGACTTGAGATGGTGTCATCATCAGTGAGTCAGGCACAGAAAGTCTCCCAGAAACCGGGACAGAGGCTGGGAAGCTGAGCCAGCAGGGAGCTGGGAGCACCCCATCCTAGCTAGAATGGGCCCCCTAGCACCTGCCTCTGACTTCTGATCTCCCTAAAGTCATGGAGGATGAGTCCTTCTGGTTGAGCCACATACCTGGCATTGGACTCCCCGTGTCTGGGTGATTATACCCTAGGGACCCCCTACCTTGGGAGTCCAGGCATTGGTTATCAGCAAGAGAAACTACTGCTTGGCCATTCCTGCCGCCTTCTGCTCTCACATCCTCCTGCTCTGTTCCTGGGCTCTGCCTCCCACGAGAATTCAACTGAGCTGGAGGGGCTGTCATCTCCCCTGGCCCCGAGGTGCCACCCCTCCTGGTGTGGTCAACACAGCAGGAAGGAGGCCTGGACCAGAAACTAGGAGCCCTGAGTGCCACCCCCCACCCCCACCCCCAGCTCGCCTGGCTTGTGTGGTGAGCTAAGCAAGTCACTTTCCCTGTCTGGGGTCAAGTTCCCCTTTGCTGGTTGGACTGAACAATCTATCCAGCCTGGATTCCAAGACCACTGGGCTGCTAGAAAGTGGTTTGTTACATTAGTTTACCTCTATTAACATAAACACTGTCTATGGGACTCCACTTCCTTGTTGAAAAAGTAAACAAATTGGACTGCTTGACCTCCAGGCTCCCTTTGTTCCGACACCTAATGATCTCATTTGAGCCTCACAACAGTTTTGTAAGGCGGGCAGGGCAGGTATGTATAATCCCCATCAGAGATGAGGAAACTGAGAGCCAGAGAGGTTCGTTACCCAAAAGTCAGGGTCAGAGCTGGGGTTGGAAGCCAGGACTTCCAGCCCAGTCCTGGGCTTTTTCTACTCAATCAATTATTCCATATTTATTAAGCTCGTTCATGAACCCCTGCCTTGAACAAGACCTGAAGTTCATCAGACATTAGAAGCTGTTAGAGGTGAGGAGGCCAGGAGCCCAAGAGTTATGTTGGGTTATTTTGTTGTCGATGTTGTTGAGAATATATGCAGCATAACATACACCAGTTCAACCATTTCTACATGTACAATTCAGTGATGTTGATTACATTGTTTGAGTTATGCAATCATTCTCATCCTGCTTTTCCAAGTTGTTCCTCCCCCATTAAAACAAACTCACTGCTGCCTAAGTTTCCTATCCAACATTTTCAGTTGCTGCTGTCAACTTGATTCCATGTAGATAGTTCTTTAAAAGAGCACAATGCTCAAGGCAGACATTCTTCACTAGTTAAGCTAAAGAGTTGTTTGGTTGCAAGAAGACTTCAGGGGATATATTTGGCTTGAGGCTTAAAGATTATCTCAGGGCAATCATTTCAGGGATTTACCTAGCCTCCATAGCTCCAGAAAGTCTGGAGTCCATGAGAATTTGAAATTCTGTTCTTCGTTTTTTCCCTTTGATCAGGATTCTTCTATAGAATCTGATCAGAATGTTCAGTAATGGCAGACCAGTTCTTCTGGTCTCATGGCAAAAGAGACAGTTGTTAATGAAGCCAATTAACCACACATTCCATTTCCTCCTCCTAGTCCTGACTGTCCTTCTTCGTCTGTTGCTCCAGGTGAGTAGAGACCAATTGTTGAAACTTGGATGGCCACTTGCAAGCTTTTAAGACCCTAGGCACTATGCAATGAACCAGAAAGCAGAAACCCAAGAGTTTTAATTCTCTCTTCCATTGGCCCCTGGGGAGCCTCCTGCAGTGAGAAGATACTGGAGCAGAGAGCACGGAGTGGATGAGGATGGCAGGACCTCAGTGGTCAGGGATGGAGGAGAAAGGACGGAGAGAGAGGAGACAAAACTCTGAGGTCTGTTCATGGAGGGCAGGGAGGAGTCAGCTCTGGCCTGGAGCTGGGGAAGTAGACTGTCTGAAATCTACGCAGATATTTAAAGGGGAGGGGTCTAGAAACCATTTGTCTGTTTTGATCTTTGGACTTGAGGGATAATTTTATTTCAAGCCCAGATCTAGCCAAAGATTCAGCCATTTGGCCCCACTGCCACCTCCAGCCCCACCTTCAATTCAATAAAAAGATAAATCCAAAAGGAATCAGCCGAGGTGATATTAAACCGATGATGATGGTGGTCAACATTATTAAGCAATGACTATCCTAAGTACTTTGTCTGTCTTAACCCATATACTCCTCACAACGACCCTACAGAGTAGAGACTTTTATTCCCACTTAACAGATGAGGAAACTGAGGCATATACGAACTGCCGTTTTTGGGGCATCTTGTCTATGCCCGAGATCCTAGTGCAAAGCTCTTTACAGGTGAGATCTCATTTGCTCAGGTGGCGTCATTAGTATCATCCTCACTTTTCAAGTGAGGAACCTCTCAGCTCAGAGAGGTTCAGTACCTTTAGTCATTTATTCAACAAACATTCATTGGGTTCCTGGTGCAGGACCAGGCAATGTTTCATTCTGTTATACATAAGGTCACTATGAGTCAGAACCAACTTGACAGCAGCTCACAACAACTATGCGCCAGGCACTGTTCTAGAAACTAAGGACACGAACAGAACAAAGATTTCTGTCCTCATGGAGCTTCATTCTAGTGGGGGAAGGCAAATAGTAAACAAAAAACATTTTAGACAAGTAAATTATATCTTCGGTTAGAAGATGATAAGGATAGTGGACAAAGAGAAGGGCAGATAAGAGGTAAGAGGAGCACTGGGAGAGGGCAGATTACGGTATTGAGCAGGGAGTTCACGGAGGGCCTCATGGAGAAAGTGAGATTGGAGTGTAGACCAGAGGTGAAGGAACCTGCTCAGGACAACCCAGAGAGTCAGAGAAGAGCCAGGGCTTGAACCCAGGCTGCCTGTGCCCACTGCCTGGGCTTCTGAGCAGTGTGCAACACGCTTTCCCAAGACCAGCCCTAACCCCCAAGCCTCTCCCCAGCCCTGGCCGCAGTCTCAGTCCTACGCTTAACCTCCTAATCCCATTTGGAGCCTAGCCCTTGTC